AAAAGCTTGAAATTTATTACAAAGTGTTTTCCCAGAAAATTCATATAATAATATCATACTTATATCTTTCAAAATAATAGTTTTTTTTTTTTGCGAAAATCAAAATATTAAGGTCTATTGCATTTTGTTAAAAATACAACGGGATTGTTCAATTAAAATAATCCGTATAATGCAAAATAATGCACATAGCTAAAAGATACACAAAAAATAAATCAAATTTTGTTTATACACAAATATATTTATGTATAATTATGATTTTCTTAATTACATAAAAACAAACATAGCTGTATCGTGCATTTCATCAAATTTGAAGTTCGATGATACGATTTTATATAGTTGGATACTGAAGACATTTCGCGCGGCAAACAAATTTCTCCCCGTTATTCGCTGTAATCTTTACGCACACGCAATCTACTTGATAAACACGCATATATACGTACACCGGACGGTCCGTTATATACTCCTAAAGTAACAGTTACGAGTGCGCGGAGCAGCAGGCGTCCGCGGGGGGAGGAGGCGAAACACCTTGCTTCGATCCGAATGGGTTCCATGGAAACGACGTTTCCGGTTCACATTCGGTTTTCTATCCGTGGTGGCCGCTATTACGCGTCTGATTAGAAACTTACAAGTGACGCGCGACATGCTGCCGCCGCCGATTTTCCACCTTTTTTCACGCGGCGTCGCGTCGGTGGCATCCCAATTTCTCTCTTAATCGAAAATTGATATTTTTATACGAAACAATGCAACAAGATTTATCACATGTATGAATGAAATAAACCTGAGGAAAATGGTTAAAAATTATCTTTGATATCAGTAGCTGAAAGAGAGAATAAAATATTTTCATTCCATTATGTATTAAAATCAATCAGAAATTTCAAGAGAGAGAAAAATAAATTATCTGGCGTACAATTACATTTTATATATCCTCAAGGAAACATTTTTCACGAATAACGTTGCGATAACTTTTTTAAGTAAATTTTAATTTAAAATTTTATGTAAGTATATATGAATTTGTGAACGAATACCATATATAGTTTTCAAGAAAATTTCTATAATTCGTAATTTAAAGATTATTATAAACTTGAATACATAAAATCTATAAATAAATTTAATTTTATCTATACATAAATTTTAATTCATTCGAAAAGCAAATACGTCAGATGCAAATTTGTCAAATAATTTTTTAACCAAATTTATTTTAGAATTACTTTTAATAAAATAAAGCATTAAAGTTAGATCATAATAATAATCATAGATCATAACGAAAATGTTTTTCACTGTGATGCCAATGTCCGCGCCGAACGCTCAGATTCTGCATCCGAGAGTATTGACCTACAGAAAACGAACTATTCCGAAAGTTTGCAAACGCTGACGTTCGACTGTGATTCGTGTGCAAGAAGCGGTCGTGCCGTAGGAAATTAATATATCTGGTACACAGTCGTTCTCCTGCCGAGGAGGGAAAAGATCGACGACCCCGAGGAACGTATCTGGGTTAGTAGTCGTCGGCGATTCACGCGGAAACTTCTTTCGCTAGGCGGGACCGCGCTGTCGACTGGCTCGCCATCGTGAAAATCGCAACGGAGCGAATCGCACGTGTTCTTCCGTCGAAAAGTGAAATTTGGTATGAGCTGTCGTATCGCGTATGCCCACGCCAAAATTTCGTCACACTGGCGAAGAAGAAGGAGGAGGAGGAGGTCAACGGCTCCGCCGGTCATATAATCGTAGCGTAATACGAGAACATCGTTCACACGTAGACCGGATTTGCCACGTATGTGTGAACGACACATTTTATTGGCGCGTACCTGTAGGTCTTTTTCTACTTACTTTATTTTTTATTTATTTATATAAATTTGTAATGCTTCCTCTACGCATGAGAATAAACAATATCTTTTTAATATCATCGGTGTATATGCGATTTAACGATCGGTCAAACGTAAATTTTATAATAGGAGATTCAGATAGAATGTATATGGTCAAAGCAGCGTTGGAAAAAAATCTTACTCGTAAATGAAATTCTACAGTTTGCTCGATTCCGATAAAATTACGAATAAATCATGTGTAACCCAATATTCTATTAATATCGGGTGCAGCGCCAATGAATTATAGCGGTGCTAAATCGTTCTATGGTAAATATGTATTCTGCTGCTTCTGTTCTTCGTTGAAAACCTCTATTCTTTTTCCACATAAATATAAATATAATAAATTATAAGCATGGAATAATCGCTAGATAATATTGAATTTATACGTTTTTGTATTTTATATATATATATATATATATATATATATATTACTTTGTTCAAAATCTTGTAGCTAAATTTTATAGTAAATCTAAAAGCTGAAATTTTTCAAAAATGTATTAATATAAAAGATTGTAATATTACATTAAGATTTATTATTTATGACTTTTACGACATTTAAATCTAGAAAACGATATTTTTCTATTTCATAATGATTGACGTGTTTTTTCTTTTAAATCGATGATCAAATTTGTGGAAGTTATACCAGTGGAGCCCATGGTGATTGCTCACGTAACCTTGCGCGATCGAGACCGGTCTTTCGGATTAGGGTTCGAGAGTTTCAAAAGTTCGATGATCTTTCTTCTCATTTCGCGATATGTTCCGTAGTCTCATCAACTAATCTCGCTCGAAAAGACTTGAGTTGTGCACGCTCTCTCGCATAGTCGAAGTGAACGGGGTTACCGATCTCAAATGGCCGTGACTCTGGGCCAGGGTCTGGGCCAGTCGGATTCCATGTACCTGGTGATCGCGAAGTCAACGCGCAAAAAACCGATCGAGAATTTGTATACCGACTACGCACGAGCATTATATGTATAACGTTGCTGTCTTCGTATGCTTCATGCGCGAAACGACCGATTTTGTTTATACAAAATTTGCGATTCATCTATCGAGCATTGACCATTTAATAAGTTGCGCGTTTAATTCGCAGGATGTTACATCACTTTATAAAACGAGAACTATTAACTCTTACAATTAGTACACACTTAGTTTGGTATGTATAACCATTCATTCTGTTGATATGTAATTAACAAAAACTTTCTTATTTTTTCATTTAAAAATAGTGTTGTCTTGATTAAAATTTGCAGTTACTCTAATCAAAATTTGATTAATAGCTAAAATTCGATTATCCTAATTAAATTTTGATTACGATGTACTAATATAATTGATTACGGAATTTGATTAGAATAATTAAATTTTGATTAGGACAACATAATTTTTATATGAAAAAATATTCAAATTCTTATTTAGCCATACGTCAACAAAATTTAATTGTACATATCAAAACATGTTGTTCAATGTACTTTTATATCTCTAGAAAGTATTTCTAAGAGGTTGTTGTATTTAAAACAATTATAATTAATACTCCAGATTTTTCGAAGAAAAGAAATATGAAGGACCGAATCGTGTGTATCTAAGGGTTAGTATTTCCAGATTTTCGCTGTCATTGACTGTTAAACCATTCATAGATGATAATAAGTTGCCTACTGATTTGTATTCGTGCGCATCGTACGTAGTCGCTTCATGCACCAAGTCGTGAATGAGAATAGATAGTTGGAGGGGTAGTCTGAAGTAGTCGGAGGGGTTAAACGTACGTTCTCGTAAAGGGGTTACGAGAGGGCGGTAGACAAGGAGAAATGGCAAGAAGGATGCACCGAAGAAAAACATGAAAATAGCAAGATGAAAATAGTTTAAATAGATGACAATAGTACGATTAGAGAGATTTTTTTAAGAAGCGATTATAATTCCTGAATCGAGAGAGACTACACAAAAGTCTTATTATTTATATAAAAATTGAAAAATATTTAATAATTGACAGTAAAAATGCGATGCATCGCATTTATAATAAAACGTAATGTCAATAAAAATCAATAATACATTAATCATCTTTTACTTTTGAATTTTTTCAATCTAAAATGATTAGAATTATTTTTTTTAATACTGCTACAATATTTAAGATAATATTAAGCAAATGTTTTATATTGGCGTGCTGATATTTTTTAACGTCACTAAAATTTCCAAAAATATTTTTCATCCAACTGGTAACCGAGCTTTCGTTCGATTAATTAATCAAACTCTCACTTTGATCTTCCTGTATCTTATAAAATAAACGTATCGCAAAAAATAATCTGAAGAATTGAAGTTCAGAACTGATCGGCACTGTTTTATGCTGTCATCGACAATGACGAAGAACGAACAAACAAACACCGTGATGATGACGAGAGAAAGGGAGAAAGCGACGCATGGAATAGGGGTAGTGCGCCAAGGGGGTTGGTTGCACGCGCGTCGAAGCGGGTGGTAGGTTGAAAGGGGTAACGGGAGATTGAAGAGAGAAAGAGCGGAGCACGAGGAGGGTGTAGCGATAAACGGTAAGACGAGGATGCAAGAGGGAAATACACGAAGGAAAAAGAGAAGGGATAGAGGAGAATGGTGGTAGGTACGAACGAAGAGCAATGAGCGGGGAGTGGATCGGGGTGATAGACGGGGTTGGAAAGTGGCGTACGGTGAAGCGAGACGCACAGAGGGAAAAACGGGAGGATTCGGGGTGGTGAGAATCGAGGTAGGGAGCGGGAGAGAGAGAAATAGGAAACACAGAGAGAGAGAAAAAGAGAGAGGAGAGAGAGAGAGAGAGAGAGAGAGAGAGAGAGAGAGAGAGAGAGAGAGA